AAGTTGAATTAATCAGGATGATCATTAGGAAAGTAGGATTGCGGGTTTATCGTTCCGTTTTAGTCTAGAGGAAGTAGTTATATTGGCAATAGGTCTAGCCAGCGGATTCACATGGTTTTCAAGATTAGAAATATGTTTCTGCCTTATTCTCTCGAATTCGACTTTAACCATCTGAACTTTTAAATCGAAATGTATGTTTTCATTTCTGATATACCAGGGTGCACCAGTTATCATTCTTAAGATCTTTGCTTTAGCTCTTTGCAGAATTTCTACATTTGACGAACAGGCATTGCCATATAGCTGTAAGCCATACATCCAGATTGGCTTAATGACTTGGTTGTATAACAAGACTTTGTACTCTAAACATAAGGGATACTGATGACCGATTAGCCAGCGAAGGCTTAAAGCTTTGAGCTTCATTTGAGTCCTTTTTGTTTCAATATGTTTCCGCCAAGTTAAGCGTTTGTCAAGGTGAATACAAAGGTACGTCACTGTTTCTGTTTGCGGAACTACTATTCCGTTGACAGTGATAGTTGGTGATGAGGATCTGGTAAGAGAGAATATTATATGACGACATTTTTGCTCATTGACTTTAATTCGCCATAGTGATAACCAGCTTTCAATGGAGTACAAATGATTTTCCAGTTGACTGGAAACGATTGCGGCATTCTTATGTCGGCACAAAATAGCGGTATCGTCAGCAAATGTTGATATTACTAAATTGGTATTTGTAGGGATATCTGAAGTAAAGATGAGGTACAAGAATCAAGCAAGAGCGCTGAAACTCCTGCACTTATTGGAAAGTCATTAGTTGTGTGCATATTGTACTTTACCTTAAAAGATCTGTCTATCAAGTATGATTGAAGTACTGCGTGTGAGTTTTGCGTGAGTACTTGTCGTATTTTGTGTATCAGGCCCTCATGCCATACTTTGTCGAATACTTGTGCAACATCTAAAAAGACACCAAAGCAATATTCTCGATTTTCAAAAGCACTTCTTATTTCGTTAGTTATTCTGTTCAATTGTTCGATAGTACCATGTTTTTGACGAAATTCAAATTGATGGCTTGGGATCAAGTCGCTTTCTTGGAGGAAAGGCATAAGTTTTGCGAGGAACACTTTCTCAAATAATTTTGACAGACAAGGCAGCAAACTTATAGGTCTATATGATGTGGTTAGTGTTGTATCGTTTCCGGGTTTTTTGAACCATTATAATTAACGCTTTTTTCCATTCCGTCGGGATATGTCCAAATTTTATTATGGCGTTAAAAATGTTTGTAATGAATGAGATTGCTACGAAGGGCAGCAATAAAATTGGAGTTATAGAATCGTGTCCAGGTGCTTTTTTGCAGACAAGTTTTTCTTTGATGGTTACCTTGATGTCGTTTGCGGAGATTTGTAAGTTGATAATAATATTGTTAATATGTTGAGCTGGTAAATTCAAATTATTGGAGGGATTTGGTTGAAAAATTTGACTCAGATGATTAGCAAATACATTAGCTTTTTCTTCGTCACTGCGAGCCCATTCACCGCTGGAATTTCTTAACGGAGGCACTGCTTCAACAGATGTTTTTATAGTTTGATGTCAATTAAAGTTATAAATAATATAATATCAATTAAAGTTAAAGTTGTTTAGTTTTCACATGCTCAAAAGTGAAAAGTGAAAGGTTTTGTTAAAATACTTATGCCGAATAGTGTATAGGTAAAATTCCCCAGACGACCGGAAGCTTTGCGGCAATGGAGGGAAATCATAGTTGCATCTGCAGTTAACAAAATCTTCAATAACGTTATTATCAGATTGAAGTTTTAATGGGTTCGTAAAAGATTTTCATTTTCAGATATATCAGTTTCTTGCTTCGTTAAACATTTTTGCTTCATGTGTCCTCTCCCAACTTCAATATTTTTCTCGCAAATGGGGGATCAGATAAATATTACTTAAAATCATCATGTAGAAAAATCCGATTCAGGGATTGCTTTTAAAATCTGTTTGCTGTCTGTAGGGATTCGTAACTCGTAAGACAAATTACATTTCTATTAACCCTTTAAATTAAAACCCGTTATTGCTAGAGATCCAGAAGTTGCAGATTTAAGGTCAGTAGTCTCAAATTAACTCAAGACCGATAAATAATCAAAAGAGAATTTACTCCGGCATTGACATTGTAAGAGGAGCAAACAGGATTCGGACGTAAGTAATCGTGCTTACGACTCATCGTTGAGCATGCAATGAATACAACACTCTATTGAATTTCACATTTATAAACTTTAAATAAGCCATTGAAGCCATTAGCACAGAACTAAGAGTTTAACCAAGTTAAACGAAGCAACAAGTATTGAGAAACAGCTTCAGCTTAAGAGAGCTTATCACCACAGTCTGATATCTCTCTTTCAAAATGTTAATTAATTTTGCATTTCTGACGGTTTTCCATATTACGTCTCACAACGCATATATACAAACAAACCATACTGCATTTACATCTTTACAGGGACACTTCTGTGCAGAAGTGTAGAAGAAGAAGTAATATATATATTGAAATAAAAAAACAAGTACGGGAGAGATCAATTACACATTATGGAAGCACAATTGAAATACGACTTAACGAACGACCCTTTAAATCAAATAACGACAAAAATTAGCGTAGACGAAATTCTGTATTAATATCTATATACTTGCTGTAGTATAGTTTATAGATATATTAAATAAAATATCTTAATATTTACCTTCAGAAATTATTTATAATTTTAATTGTGGCTTGCATATCTAATTAAATTTTGCATTGTAACAAAATAATCATACAAAATAGGAGAAAATAGTATCTAGACTTAATTATTACGTATTCCCAAAGCCTGCTCTAATTCGGCACGCTTCTGATTCACTTTTGTAAAAAAATATCTGCAAACGGCTTCGTGAGTCCATGGCTGGTAATAAAATTCTGCTCTTCTTTCTTCTTCTGGATTACCAACAACATCAGTCATAGCCTTAAAACAAGCATAATTAAAAACTATTAAAATAGTTCATGAAATTTTATATACCTTCAAATCACGAGTTTGGCTAACAATCCATCGATGTATAAACGACTGTGGATCTTTAGCGAAACTTAGGAAAAATTCTCGATTAGTTTTCATCTGATTTATGGTATCAACAGTTTCATGTATTTTAGTATCGAGACCTTGAATTTCTTGCTGACTTGCGGTGCTCATTAGAAAATTATTCATTTGATTTTTAAGAGTGTCGTCAACTTCAACATCAATATCATAACAAGCGGTTTGCTTATTTTCTGCACCACTTTCAATGAAATGGTTAATAACTATTGGATCTGGGGGATGCAGTAGTGGATTTAATCGCTGTGGAATTTCAGCGAATTTCATTCTTTGACATCCAAATATTTGTTCTAAATATTTGTCACAATTAATAAATTCACGTTCATGAGCATCTTGAAGTTTATGTGTCTTTATATATTGCCAAAGTGCAGATATTATAACTGGTCGTGTTTGTGTGTGAACCCCAAGTAAACGTGCAAGCCTTGGGTCCAATTTAAATTGAAGTGGCTGATAATCAAGCAACAACAGAATAGTACACCGCACATTACGATCACCTGGGCGTTTAACTTGAAATCCGTCTGTTTCCTGTGTTGTGTGAGTGCGATGCCATTCAACAAGATGGTTATCAGGACCATATAGTTCTTTATCTAATTCAATTACAAGAGATTTGAAAAATGAAGAAAATTTACGTTTAATTTTTGTGTTGGGATCGCCTTTCACATCTTCCAGCAATCGTCCTTCAACACGTAGTTCCCACGAGGCAACTGATACATCATCACCGTCATTTGTTGGCTCCTTACTTGGATAAAACGTGTTAGATATAAATATACGTAGTTTTCTTTTTTGCTTCATTGGCCGTTTCAAAGCCTCCTGAATATCAAGTCTTTTACGCATAATTGTAGCATCTAGCTTTCGCTCAAAAGTTAAGAGATCCATATATGCCTGCGATTCGGGCACTAAATCACGAACTTTTTGTGGTAAAATCTTATCTGCCAACTTCTTCTTCTTTTTAACTGACACAAATTCCCCTTTGTTCTGAGCATTACTAAGATTTCGCGCTTCCGTTGATCGCTTACTGCCACCGCCACCACCCGATCCACGCAAACCACTCTGAAATCCAGGCTGAGATGCACGTTGATGTAAAGGCGGTCCAATTGGCGAATTCGAATTATTTGTAACTGGTGGAGTTGGGCTTGGATGCATTGGGAAACCTCTTTGCTGCAAAAACAAAATTTATTATAACTATTTCTATAGTAACAACAAAAACTCTAGTACAGGAAAATTTGATGCCGCATAAGGACGCATTGCTGCAGTCTGAGGTGGTTGATATCTTGGCTGCCCAGCGACCGATGCTTGGCCTGGTTGGTTAGGACCAAACCTTTGAGACATTTTTCAATAAATTATTAATTATATCTACCAAACTTGAAAAATGCACAATTACAAATATGGCGTACCAAACTACGATTTTCAGCATAAAGCATATTATAAAGTTACCTTGCTTACACTCTCATTCATGATTGTTGGCATAGATTAACAACTGAGAAGATCTTATGAGGAACGGAAACTCTTTAATTATTGAGACTAATTTACACTGGACTCAAAGGACTAAATTTGGTTATATTTGGCAAAATATCAAACGCAAATGGTATCTATTGGAACATATTCTATATAAATGAGTGCCAACGAGGTTAGAATCAGTTCGAAATGCAAATGAATCATTGAACATATCCTGAATAAAAGTTTTTAATGGCATTTTAACAGTTTGAAAAAACTGATTTGGACATTTTTAAGAAAAAAAAGCTTAACAAATATTTGGTACTTGCATTTCCGCGAAAACTATGCACCTCTTTTTGAAACTTTACTTTCCGAAAATAAATTAATCGAAGCTAAAAGTAAATTTTTAGTATTTTTAACATTCATGCAACATTTTTTTGGCAAAGGCCAAAAATCAAATCAACAGGCAAGTTGAAAAAACAGCTGGTTGGAAACTCCATATACGGCCAGTGGAAACTCCATATAAGGCCGTATGCGAGTTCGAGTAAATTGAGGGAAATAATAATTTTTGTCGATATGGCAGTGAATGTTGGCACTTACCAGAATTTCGAGTAGGATAAATTAGTTAAAAATTAAGTTTTTCGAAATTGAAATTTTTTAAAAATTAGGTAAATGAAGTATTACTATTGCGAAAATTTTATAAGATGTTTAATAAATAAATTTGAAAAGTTTTAATAGAAAATTAATTTTTTTTTATGTTTCATTCTTTATACTATGAATATATGTTTTTAATAATTGTATCACATTTATTTAATAATAAATAAAAATATTTGGCACAAAATTATTAGTTACTTGATTTCAAAAAGCTAATTGTGAAACTTTATGCTATTGATCTGTGGCTCTTTTATGTAACTTTCTCACTTCGTTTTCTCGAACGATTTTCTCACTTTTGACAATTACTCACTAGAAGCGTTTATGTAGCTGTGGTGAATTGTTTTCTCATTTTTTTTCGTTCGATTTTTTGTCACCTGTCAAATTGCTTGCGAGAAGTTGTGAATTTTGAATATTGAATTTAAAGTTATACAAAGTGATAGTGAGAACATTTGATTTTTTTAAATATAATATTTATTGATATAATCATTATGAGTAATGTAAGTACTCATATATTTACACATATGTATATATAATATTAAATATATTATTATTATTAATATTGATAAATAAATTTCATTTGTGATTTATTCATGATTTTCAAATAATTTTAAATATCTTACCGCAAACACTAAGCAACCTTTTAAAATTGTTTCATTTTCATTCCATTTTTTCAAAAAAACGTTCAATTTTCATCAGTTTCTCTCATCATACCATAACGTTCTCGTGTGGTGAATTTTTCATGTTACATAAACAGAAAACTCGAAAGAAGTGACAAAAAGCAAGTGAGGACTTTTCGAATGAAATCGAATTACATAAACCACTGGCAAAGTTATATGTTTTGTTCATATTTAAAATTTAAATTTTTTTATTAAAACTCATATCAAAGTGCAATGTTCCAATGTAATGAATATAATAAAAGATGTAAGTAATTTATTAATTAATCACATATTTAACAATATATTTATTATATACTTTTTATTTACTTAAAGGGAGGAAAGGGATGGTAGACGCGTTCATTGTAGCGCGCATACGGAGGGAAGACGTTGTGGCAATAGTGCCAACAACATGGCAACCTTTACAAACAGCTGATTGTCACTTTCACAAAGCGGATACATTTGGCAATTCTTAACATAAGTAAAACGGTGTGAAACAAAGAGCATGGGTTTATTTTCGAAAGTAGTTTGTATCATAGTATGTCTGTTCCACAAGCTGTTAGTAGTAAAACACAAGTACAACTTGAGAGCGTTACACAAATAAATTGCCAAATTACGCTCTTTACACAGATTTTCTTGAAACAGTTTTGTGTAAAGTCTGGTGATAACATCAGTGCCGCGCAAATAAACAACGCAAAAATTTAAATTCAAACCAAAACAGCTGATTCACACATCAATACAAATTTAACTTGAAATTAAATGTACGAATAAAGTCTGTGTTACATTCGAGTAAGCATTTAACACGGATGTTACGCTCTCTCAGATGCTCTCATTTACTCGAAAATTTGTTGATGGAACGCACTTGGGTTTATATAGTTACTCAAAGTTACTACGAGTAGCTCGTGGAACAGACATAGTATTTATCTTGTATGCTTATTAAAATAGTTGACTAAAATACCAAAAATGTGTTCAATTTACTCGAACTCGCACACTTTTATGAGGTGAATTGGTAAATAAGGACAATGCAAAAAATCGATAGGAAATATCAATTTACTTGACCTCAATTTACTCGAACTCGCATCACGACCATAATTGATATATTATATTAAATGTATTACATATTCAATTTATGAAAACAAAAATTTTTTTGTATTTTCATTTTCTCAGCATGTGTGTTTACAACTCAATTTTTGTTTGTTGACATGTTGCATATAAAACATATGACAAATATTTCAAATTTTGGCTATTTCGCTTGTGGGAAATTTATTTTTAAGGTTTGCATTCGACATTTTTCGTTTTAAATCATTTGATTTATTTATAATGAACTCATTTATATGAAAATTATGTATGGTAAAATGTCTTCATTAGCGGTCAAGCACATGTTGGTATCCAAGTCTTTTTTTTTGTTTCCAAAAACTCTTCTTTTCGTGTCAAGTAGCACTCTACATTGTTCAATCTTTTGCTTTTTGATTATTTCTTCATTACTTTTCAGGATTTTTACACATTGTTTAATCATTTGCTATTTTCCTAATTTTCAAATTTTTGAATTTTGTTTGAATTTTTGTTTATATATGATTTTTGACATATGATTGCAATATTCGTTGGAGTTTCCAGAATATGTTCACAATAGTTCGTTTATTGCGTTGGTAACACTTTTTTTTTACTGGCCGATGTGGTTGGCCAGCATAGCTATACTGGCCGAGGATACAAAATAGTGTTGTCGTTGTTTTGTATACATTTCGACTAGTATAGGCCAGCAACTTGCTGGTTTTTGCCGTACTTGCGAGCCACCGAAAAGGTCTTATATAGTTCATTGTTTGTTTACTATTTTTTATAACGTTATTTTTTAAATAAATTTTTATTTTTTTTGTGTGGTATTATCACATGAAAATTTAATACTTCATTTATTGTGTTTGTCTTTTAATTAATTAATTTCAAATTATCTTTACATTTCGATTCATTTGATTTAGAACTTATTACAGATTAAAATTATTAGAAATTTCGCGCCATGACGATAAGAATATTATATAATTGTAATATTTATATTCATAACTTAAATCAATTATTTTTTGATTTTACTTGAATAAATCTCTTAAGTAATATTTAAATAAAATTTGCGTAGTACAAAATTACATCTCGCTGTCTTATATTCTCTCAATTTACTTGATTTTGGAAACGGGAACAGAAAATTATAAAATTGAAGTAACTTTTCACATGAATTCTATTACGAATAGGTATGGGAAAAGACCAAATATATTAGCGAAATTAATATTCATGTTCAATAACTCAAGTAATTAAAGATAGAATTCGTTAGTTGAAGGCGGTATTAAAAATACTTTTAAATAATTGATTCCCAAGTTGGTGCCTTAAAGTGTGAAATTCAACCAAGTCTCATATATAATAGCAAAATGGCATGCAGATTGATATAAATTAAAATATATTAATTTCTCCATAATATTGCTTGTTTATTTTCGTTTGTCCCTGTACAAACTGTGTCCTGATTTAAAACTTCAAATTTTATTTATCCAAAATTTATTATAAATTTTGTTTTAATTTTATTAATTCTATTAAATTATTTCATCGTTGTTAGGTACGTTGTTAAGTTCTTACATCATTAATTCCACCTAAAAATACATCAATTTATTTCGTTGATAATTGTCGTAACCCAACTGAAAATGTAACACGAAATATGTGATAGTGTTATGTACACAATAATAATTTCTAATATTTTTTCATCTGAATTAATATACATTGTATTATATTGTATTTATTATTCTAATATTGTATTAGAATTTGTTTTCACACACAAAACGAATTCATTTTTTAATATAACTAGATGAAGACGATAACTGAAAATTAGGAATAATCTTGTGTCTTGACAACAGGAACAATTTTACTCTACATGTCAAGGAGGAAACGAAAACTATATATAGCAGCAATATACAATATATAGTCGTGATATACACAAATATCGAAGTGGGTGAGGTGGGAAGTGGGAAGTGGAGATCATGAAAACTTAGTTTGCTTTGAAAAATTGCTATATCTATGTAGCTTAGAGAACAGTGAGCCGTAATTTCGAGAAGTTGGCATCACTTTCATTTCATCCGTCAAATAAAGTGAATTTCAACTTGTTAATTGTTTATTTTCGTACTAGTGGTTTTAAAACTAAACAATAGAAATGGCCGAGGATTGGTGTTGTGAAAAACTGAAAAACCTTAAAATTAAGGAAAATCGCTTGGGCACGTTGAACGAAATAAAATCTCTGTTAAATGAAAATCCCTTGGAAGCTGTGGTTGTAAACCAGTTGCTTAATGCGCCAGAGATTTATGATTGTATGGAAGATAAAGACCGTGAAGAGGGTATACCTAGTCGAGGGGTTGATGATCAATTTGATTTAGCAAGCGATATTCTAGCAATTTGCATGCAAAACCTCACCATTAATTCGGACATGCCTCAAGTACTTCAACGTTCATTGCAACATCAACAGCCGCGCGTTCGCGCAATAGCTCTGAATGCAATTCATAACGAACTTCAACGACGTTCACTAAATAATGATAAACTTCTGCATTTAGTTTCTGACGAACTCACAAAGCATATTCTCGATGCCTTGCAAGATGACGAAACTGAAATTGGTATACCAGCGTATAAGATATTAACAATAGTTTTAGAACATAAACTAAATGTGGAGTCAATTCGGCAGCAGCTCTTGCAAATGCTAAGACAAAACTCCACAGTGAAATGTCGCTTGTTCGAGCTTGGCGTGAATTTGGCAAAACGTTCGGCCAGTAATTTAGAAAAAGTCAAATATATTTTAGATTTCGCCTTGTCGGAATTGGATAATGATGATGTTATTTTAAGTGTCAACGTACTCGAGATATTTACATCTCTTGCTGAACAAAATCACGGACTAATTTATCTCGAAATAAGTAGAGTTTTCGACATTATTAGTAGCCGCGTAGAAAACATGCACAACAAGCCGTTAGATCAACTCCTAATACCTGGAGTGATGAAGTTCTTTGGTAAAGTTTCAAGTGTTCAACCAGAAAAAATAATCAGCGGTTATCCAATCATGTTGGTTTGTCTCTTTGATACTATACATAACGGAGATGTACAAATGCTACCAATAGCCTTAGATACTTTGGGTATGTGTGAAGTAGTGTACTCTTGTTGCAATGCAGAGATAAATTGATAGAATTTAAATAATGAAGTAATACGGTCTGAAAATATAGAACAGTTAACGTCTTAAATGAAAGAAACTGATAGTGATAGTGTTTTATTTGTCCTATTGTAACTATCAATTTTTTATTAATGTATATTATAATATGTATGGCTAAATGTTTACTTTTTTTTTTGTTTTGCAGCAAATGTGTGCCAAACACAAAAAGGAATAATGCTTGTGGAGACTTATCATTCAGAACATATGAGAAGAACCCTTGATAATTACTTATTGTATCTGAAAAATCTCTCCTCTGACATGAAAATTCGTATTTTTAACAGTCTGGAAGTAATATTTTCAAATGAAGATCCTGTGATGCAGCAAACAAGGTAAAAGCCTACTAATATTATTTAAATTTGTAACTAATGTTTTTCTAATTCAGTGAAATTATGGAAAAGTGGTTTTTAAAACTTGCAGATGGAACAAATATGCAATTTCTTTTGGACTTTTGTCGAAATCCGTTCCCAGACATAAAGGTAGCTTGCTTAGCATATGTGAAAACGCTTTGCTCATATTCTTGGGGTATTGTCGCACTTAAAAATACGGGCGGTTTTGTGGAATATTTAATAGATCGTCATTGCGAATTTGACAAAATTGCAAAGCTCGCAAAATATGAAGTGGTACGAACGTTGTCAGAAAGTATGATATTTGACATGCAAATTCAACTTCAAATGCGAACTTACGTTAACGAAGGACCTTATTATGTTGAATCCATCATAGATATCGCAGTTGAAGGAAATTAAAATTGTGTTATACAACTTTATTATATTTGTTAAAAATTTGACAATATAAAAATCAACCATTTTATATAGCATTTTCGTCTACACGTGTTCAAAATGCATTTTAAATGGATATAATATTTATAAATCTATCTATAAATCTACACAGTATATAAATCTAAACTATATAAATTAAACTATATTCGGGTATGTCTATTATTTATAAACTGTTCATGTAATGACAATTAAGTTTTAAATGTGGTATTTAATATAATTTAAACTTATATAGATATTTAAATTGGCATATTTCATTTCTATTTTGGAAGTCATATTTACCTTTCATTACGTGTTTCAAATATTATTTAAACTGATCAAGATTTCGAGCATTTTCAGGTTCGAGCATGTGCGTGCTTGAGTATTCAGCAAGCCATATGGCGTTGGACAATTTGCCGTTTTATCTATTTCAATGATTTAGTTCGATTTTGAGTTCTAGTATATTTGGACTGCCTAACAATATTATGCTCTAACACTTTAAAGTACCAGGCTTATATTATTATAATACTACGCAATAAATAAAATATTTAACATTTGAAAATATTAATACTTGTACAAGATATCCACATCAGTTCAAAAAAAATTGAAAATTTCAACTTCTTATTCAAAAAAAGACAACTTTTTGTTTTAGTATATATGTTTTTTATTTTATGTATTTGTTAATTACTATATTAGGAATATAAATATAAACAAATTATAAAATTATTGTGTGTGAAAGAAGAACACAAAATATGACGAAAACAAATCCTACATCATTTTTTGACTGTCAAGTAACTGTTTACACAACTTGTGTTTTTCCATTATTTTGCATTATTTAAACGATAAACGAACGTGTAAAAAAATAAAAATGTAAACAAACATTTGCAAACGTCAGAATGCAATTCGCTGCAAAAAGATGCACAAGGAAGCTTTTGTGCAAACGTGTTAATTGCATTAAGTTCAACTAAGATCAACTCAAAGTTTTGTGTACTTTACACAAAAAGTTCAAGAGGATGCGTATAAAAGACTGTGCATTTTTCTAAGAATTTAGTGTGTCTTGTATGATCACTCGGTGGCATTATATGTCAAAATATAAATTAAATATAATCAAACATTATCTGACACAAAGGCGGTGTTAAGTCAAAGTGTATAACTTATTTAAAATATATATACAATAGTTGGCGAACGTAAGGGCGGTTTTAAGGCAAGGCACTTGGACCCTATTGTATATATATTCCGTAAAAAACAAACAAATAAATATATTTTTTTTATCCGCTAACCCTTCTGTCCCAAACAGGTACGCAGTGAGCAAGTAATCATACAGAGGTACAAACCACGGAAACCCGGCTAGAGATCACCGAGTACCCCAAGGAAACCCGTACGCATTGAGCAAGCAATCATACAAAGGAACCAACTCCAGTTACTTTATCTACTTATCGCGCTTTATCTACTTACCATATTTTATTTAAAATCCTATTTCATTGAATTAAACACAGTATTAATCTTAAATTTATTTAACTACATTTAACTAAATTCCTTTTTTTTTGAAAACTGTTTTATTGAATTAATAAAATTTGGAATAAATCTACATTTAAAATTTAAACGCATTACTTTTATTTTGAGAAGTCCTGTCTCCGCGATTATAAATTTATGGTAGCGACCCCTTCGGAGAGACTTAGGGTACCCCAGCATAAATTATAACGAAACGGGAAAATCCGTGTCGTTACAACGTTATTTAGTTAGTCATTCTTCAGGGATAGTTGCAATTTATTTTATTACTTTCGGAAATCAAAGACAGGGAAATTGTGCTTTGTGATTAATTTACTTGATTGAAAATTTAAATTTAATAACTAACGAATAACTCATTGGTCTTTTTTCGAGTAAATGAGAGCATCTGAGAGAGCGTAACATCCCTGTCATAATTTAAAAATGCTACACCGACTTTATTATTTATATATTTCCTTTGTTTAGTAGTTAATATTAATTTTTATTAAAACAGAAAATAAAAATATTAAAAATCACCACCATTCATTCGTGAATTGAATAAACCCCTTTCAACATAACAGCAAACACACAGCACAAGACAAGCCAAGCTCGAGGCAGAGTCGTTACTTCGCAACAAAATGCAAAAAGCTAGGCAAGAAATGCTTTAACTCTGTATGCATGAAGAATTACACTCGTGCGTTTGTGCGTACAACTAATGAAGAGAGGGTGATTTCATATAAATAGACGACAATTTTATATGAAATATGACTTAGCGCCAGCACATCGAAGTGAGTAGAACACCTACAACACCGCTAAGTCGCCAGGGAAATTTCACGCCAGTAGTATTCTGATACTATAGGCTACATAAATTTGTAGACCAGTAGTTTATCACGCCTCACGGCATTTTGATGCCATAGACTAGAATCATTATATTATTATAGTTATAAGGCCGCACGGCATTTTGATGCCATAGGCTAGAATCATTGTATTATTATATTTTACAACGTTACACGACATTTTGATGCCATAGGCTAGAATTTTTGTATCATAGAATATAATGTCGCCGGCATTTTGATGCCATTGGCTACAACCGATTTTAACCGTTTAAAATTATAACAACAGGACGAGAATTCTTTTTTTTACCTAGTATTATAAATTTTTATATATATATATATATATATACATATATATATACATTATTTTTTATATTTTATAATAAACACATTCATTTTTGAACTAAAACAAACAATATCCTTCGTCTTTTACTAGCTTTCGAACTAGTCAATAAAACAAATTTATTGCGACGACCCAGACCGCGACTGAGTGATACCTCCATAAAATTAAACGACGAATTGGTGTCGTTACAAGCTATTCCATTTTTAATTGTTCTTACTTCAATAATACTGGTGAAGACGGATAACAATCTTGACGCAATTCTGACTACAATGCTACAAATCAGGATTATTTATTACCTTTATTATTACATTTATTTATTTTTATCAGGATTACGATCACCTTGACGCTATTACTAAGTACGATGCTACTGGTCAGAATATATAATTACCTTGGGTTCTAAATGCTTGTTTAGAAAGACGTATTACTGTCCTTTCAACTGTAAGACGTATTACTGCCTTGTAAGTCTTGTAAAAAGTACCTTTACTTAAAAAATGCACGCTTTTTTACACTAAATTGCTCACCTCGTAATGTAGCGCAATAAAGCTTTTATCCATTGAATAGTGCTTTTGTCGTTGTTGCTATTTTTGATTTACGCTTGACATTCACTTCATATAATGCAATTCAGCACTTTTTGGATTTTTGCACAAAAGCTTTCTTGTTTTGACGTTTCTTGTGTTGTTCTTTGTTTACAAACGTGTAAACAAAGTTGTCGGTAATAGCGGCTTTTAATGTTTATTTTTATTAAAATAAAATACATATTTAAAATATGAATATAAATAATAAATAACTAAGGTATGTATATTATTTATTTAAATAAATATATTTTTGTATTCTTTATGAATGTATTTTACATGAGATTTTAAATGATCTCTAAATATTAGAACCATATACAGGTTTGCTGATAAAAATTATAACAAACTTCATGCCAATCTTGTTGTCAGACTAATAATGACAAAAAGCTCCAAATTAATTCATTTGACAGTTCATTGCATTGTTTACGAGCGTATGAAGGCGTTTTTATTTTTGTGTTTGTAGAAAAGAAGTTGTGTGTGATGGAGTTCAAACGCGATAGTGTAATTGCATTATATTTGGCTGAAAAAACACAAGTGGCTATCGTTCGAGCTCTCCAACATCTAAATGTGAACAAATCATTTGTGTCTCGTACCATAGCTCGACACCTTAATACTAGTAGCGTTACCCGACGTCCAGAAAGTAGATAAAAAAAACAGTAACAATACCAGAAATGATTCGTAAAGAAAAAAAGCGAATTGAGCGTAACTCACGCTGTAGCTACAATCAAATGTCAAAGGAGCTGAACGTATCGCGAGAAATGATACAACACAGTTTGAAAAATGACTCACACTCAAGCCATTGAAGTTGAACAAAGTGCATGATCTCACTGATAAATAAAAATAAGTTAGAATCAAAAGAGCCAAAGTATTAGTTTGTGTGACTGAAGGTTGTGGGTTATCGAATTTAGTTTTTTCTGATGAGGCATCATTCGTAAGAATACACCATTCAGCAGTACGTAAACAACGAAAATGATCGAGTTTATTTGTCAGAGAGGTCCGCTGAAAGTTTAAATAGCGAATGGCCATCATAAAGAAGACGTCACCGATGGCGATGGCGTGGGGCGCCTTTACGGACGATGGTCGCTCACCGCTCGTGTTCATCGACCGTGAGGTGAAAATTAACACCCAAATCTATCCATCTATTATTTTAGATGAAGCACTAAAGCCCTGTGCAAATGAGCATTTTGGTCGCGGGTATTGGACATTCTAACAGGACTGAACACCATCGCATAAATCATGCGTCAATCAAGAATGGCTGAAAAATAACATTCCGTGCTTTATACCATCAACACAGTGGCCACCTTGTTCATTAGCTATATATTCCAAAGATTTCCCGATCTGGGGTAGCTGGCACTAAAATATGCCAAAATACCGATCGTCTGAATCAAGCGCTAAGTTGAGAATGGACTAAAATACCGGGCAATCCACTTGCGGGCATAATGCGATAGCTCCATTGGCCGTTTGAAGGCCATAATTCATACTAAAGGTGGCCATATTAAACCAAAATAAATTAACTTAAAAATTTCAATTTTTTTTTCGTGTATTTTCATTTATCTTTCATTAAAATTAACAAATATAAACAAAGTAGAGCGTTTCACTTTGTTGCAATTTTCGTCAGCAACTCTATAGATGCGGTGTGGTACAATTTAATATTTTTGTTGAGTTTAATATAAACTAAAACTTCATAAAAATAATCTATAATACTTTTATTTGTAACCAAAAAATTATATAATAAATTATTAACGGACTAATTGGTATTTAAAAAGAAATAAAAACACTATAATTTATTATTTATATTTAAAAACAGTTTGTATTTTATTCAAAATAATTGTTCCAATATTTCGATTGTCTTCGACTGTCATCTCCAGGAAAACTAAACAAAATATATGTACAATGTTCATTTTTATAGTGGAAAATTGCAAAGAAAAATCATAACAATAAATACAATAATAATTATGACAACAAGAGAATTTAGTCTTGTACTATTAGGAACTAGAAGTATTGAGAGCATTTCCAGAAAGTAC